AATTTTATTCGTGATCGAAAAATAATATGTGACCTATAAAATTTGTATTTGTGACTTATAATTTATTGAGTTGTGATCGAAAAATTAATCTGTGACCTATAAAATTTTTGATTCGTGATCGAAAAATAATATGTGACCTATAAAATTTGTGTTTGTGACTTATAATTTATTAAGTTGTGACCGAAAAATTAATCTGTGACATATAAAATTTTTTATTCGTGATCGAAAAATAACATGTGACCTATAAAATTTTTAATTTGTGACCAAAAAATAAGTTGTGACCAATAATATGATAAGTCGTAATTAAAAATTAATCCGTGACTAATTATTTTTGGTTTTGTGACCAATAAACAAACTGTGACTTACAAAATTTTTGAAATGTGATCGTAAAAAAATTTGTGACATAAAATTTTTGATTTGTGACCAAAAAATAATAAGTAACTAATTATATTGTTAATTTGTGACCAAATTGTATAGATCCGTGACCTAAATATATTTAATTAATAAAATAATTAATTAACTAATTAAATTATAAATAATTTTTAATAAAAATCTGATTTTAGAAATTTGAAACTTGTTTTCTTATTTTTGAAATGTATCATAATTAATTTCTTAGTTATGAAATTTTCCCAACACAAATTGTCTGCACATTGCCAGCTAGAGAAAGTCTACTGACAATGCCCCGGCCCATTTTGGAGGAAACACCATTAAATGTGCCCACATCTATTTCCATCTTGACCTTTTCTTCTATAGTTAATTAATTAAGTTGTTTAACCCTGGCAATTCCTTCCAACAGCCTATAAGAATATTCTATAACACAGGATATCGATTCCTTTGCTGCACTACAACTCAAGAATATTCTATTACTCATAATATCAATTTGTTAGGCTCAAAATTGTAATTGACAATTTTCGTATCCAGAATCGTGAGTTATTGAGTTATAATTAAAATTAAACTAGTTGGGGATTAATAGTATAAGTCATAAAGAAATAAAAGATGTTTAATATGGATTGAGAGAAAAATCCACTGCAAACCGCTTGCTAGCCGTGCATGGCAGGCTCAAGCACCCAAAGCAAGGGCTTCACCGTGAATCATTATTTCATATTAGAAATCATATTATTGAAGATCCAAAATACATTTCAAAGATCTCTTGGTTCAACCACGATATCAATTCTTCATAATTATGCCCAAACATTATTTTTCCATTGGTTGAGCCTTTGTTTCATACACATACACATCCTTTGAAGATCAAATACACATTCAATTATTCTCTTAATTCAATCAAAGATCAAAACACAATAGATCAAACACCAAAAACCCTTAAATTTTTCAATAGGTTTTTAGAGTTCTGAAGTTGGAAAAAGACAAATTGGAGTTCCAGTTGTTTTGGAACAAAGTTTGTTTTTGGTGATCCACGTAAAGGAAAAGAAGTCCAGAGTTTTGAAAAGTGTGGGTCATACAAGGAAAGAGGTTCTTTGATGGTTTATTAATTTCCAATTCCATTGGAGTCCTATTGTTCCCCTCCCAAGGATAGGTTCTTATGCGTTACTCACCCGTCAGCCACTGGAAACACCACTAGTTGGGTAGTTAGAGCGTACTGAAGTTATCATTTTTGGCTTGGTTTAGCCGGAGGTTTTTATCCTTGTGAAGAGTTTTTCAAGGAATTTTTCTTCATTACCAATTCTTAGTATTGATTGACACTTAGGATTTAAATTGATTTTAAACTTAATCATCTAGAAATAATAAATAAAGGATTTTGCCTCTTGTACATTAACTTTTTACCGCTTTGTTGATAGAAAAATGTGTTGGCAAAAATTTATTGAATATAAAGACAACTTGTTTTTAAAATTGTCAAATGAAAAATAATGACATATTGTTAAAAAAGATGTTAAATAGAATGTATACCAGGTATGATTGATTAATAAATGATTTGTTTCCTATTATTGAATTCCGCATTACGCACCTCAAGGTGTAGTGTGGTCTAAACGTCATATTGAAATAAATATTTCAATCAATTCGTTTAAAACATTATGTAATATGTATTGAAATTATCATTTACATATATTACATGATAAGTGTATTTTGTATACTTAATTAGGCCTTTAAGTTAGAGTCTTTTTGGATATTTTGATGAATTGTGGCTTAATTTTATGTATATTGTGTTTGCTAGGTAATAATCGATGAAAATGATGGAATAGGAGAAAAGGGATAAAAGAGGACTCAATTACAAAAAATCAAAGTTCGAAAACTAAAATGCAAATACTCAAAAAGTTGTGTTGAATCTTACGATGAAGATTCAAGAGTGCCAAGGGTAAATTAGACGAGAAAAGAAGCCGAAGGGGTGAAATATAGTCAAATTATTCTCACAAGTCAATTTTTCAGGCTAATAAATTATGCTCTTAGATTTTCAACCTCAAATTGAAATTCATTTTGTACGTAGTAAACATTTGAATTAGAAAATAATATTTAAAAAATTGTAGCTCTTTGAGTTAGTTTTTCAATTCACTTTGAATCGTTTCAAACAAAAATCGAGAGAAAGATATGACAAAAATATTAACAATCTGTCAGGTCATAACCATGTGCACGCATGGTACAAACTCCTTGCATACAAATATCCCTTCAACAAGCCTAACTAAGGCCAAAATGTCTTTTCCATGCATGTGTATGGAAGATAGTCATGCGCACGCATAATAATCTTCTAAAGGAAATATTCTGTTTCCTTATTTTTGACCTATGTTCGTGTGGGATGATTTCTTAAGCTTTTTAACCTATCAATGGCTATCCAAAACATATCATGAAACTATAATATCATATTCTCTCAACCAAGTGACGTCTAACAAGAGGCAAACAAAGACTTACAATAAGAATTGAATATTCAAGACTCGGATTGAAGTCAAAAACTGAAGAAATTATATTTTCAAGACCTTCTACTAAGTTTTATCATATGGGTGATGTTTTTTTAACATATTTTGTATGATTTGAATACAATATTAATGCTACGCTAAACTTTCTTTTGCATTAGATGAATGATGAAAATCATTGATCATATGTTTTTTATTTATTGAATTGATCTTGTTGTAGTGTTGTAAAACTCGCAATAAGTTAGAACATTGCATAATTGACAAAAAAAAAAAAAAAAATAGGTGATAGGAATAACATTTGTGGCGTTTACAATCCTGTTTGATAATTGTATGGTTGAATGCATCTCTTTGCATATGAATTAGGACTAGAAATAGAATCGGGCCGTACTTAAGATATACTTGATTTATCTTGAAAAAGAAGGTTTAACAACATAGGATATAGACTGTCACGAACAATTCAACAACACTAATCTATGTAATTCAAGATTTAAAAATATATGCCAACAAGTGGATTCTAAATCCAATACATTTACTTCATAATTTAATAGCAACGCCTTAATCTAGAAAATTACAAACAAACAATTCATTTGTGTTACAAACATCGAATTTGAGAGAAACTAGTGCATTATAATCTGTAGTTATTTCTTGTGGTATGATAACTTAATTCATTACATTATTACTTATTAATGATTCTATACATTTGCAAGTTCTGTCTGAACGACATGTACACGTGAATTCTTTGTTCTCATTTGGTGGCATCATTAATGCAATTTAAAACAATTTAAGCTACCAAATTTAAAGGTAGTAGAGACTGCATTGAACTTAACGTAACAGTTATATGCATATCGTCAACTTTGTCACTCCTTTCCTTCGGGGTAATTTATTCAAATTCACTGCCACATTTTCCTGCTGCCACCTACATCATTTTTATTACAATTATTTAGTTGGATGATGTTGAATTTATTACAATGGTTGGCGGACCATCTCTCCCGTTATCAATCCTTACATAAATTTTTAAACTTATTTTCTGTCAGCTGTTGTCCAAAAAAAAAAAAAAAATTTTAAATTAAATTAAATAAATACCAATTACATGGTAAATTATGTCAGTATGATTTTGAAAAATATGTTTAGTTTAATTAAATTATTAAAGCTTTTGAAACCACGAGCAATTTTTTCTTCTCAAATTTTCTTTTCCTTTCTAGAGTTAAAAAATTATTATGTATGATTGAAATTATTATTATTATTTTAATTTAAAGCATTTGGCTAACTTTTTACTAATTACAGCCCTCTTTTAATACCTAATTTCCTCAAATAAGAAATAAGAAAAATTAATTAAACAAACTACCTCAAATCTTATAAACCGAATTGCTGAACCCAGCCAAAATCTGCCACTACTACTCTCAATCCTATTACTTTTCATCCAATAAACGATATTTCATAATTAAGAATATGTAATATTTATAATAGAGAATATGGCACACAATAACAAATGAAGCACTTGAAAGCAGATTGATTCCCAGTAATATAGTCTAATATAAATGTAGAGTTCTTATTTTATCCTCTTTAAAATTGAACAAATTAAGGTGACACACTTGATTTTTGGTCAACTGTCAAATTTTTGGTTGGACATTGTTAGAGATCATTTCACGTATATTTATTGAAATGTTTTAGACATGACAGCTACTATTTAAACATTTGGGACTTCCGCTGCTAATTTTTCTGAAAAAAAAAATAAAATAAAATTCTAAATCTTATATTGAATCGTGCTACAAGTACAAATTTTTTTTGATAGATAAACCTTATAGATAACATTTAGCGCGAAATCATTGAAAGATGGGAAAAAAGAAGAAAAATAGTTCATTTACATTTTGTCACGTCAGCGCCGACACAAGTTCTGTTTATTTTTTTTCTATAATTATGGCTTTAATGATTTTTTTATAAGTATCTTTTTAAAGATTATGCCAAACATGTACGACAGCATGAAATGCAATACGTTTTGATATTATGAGTTGAAAATGACTTCTGTGTACAAATATGTTTGGTGCATTCATCATCTAACTTCCCATTTAAAAGTCTATGATTTGCTCATTATTTATAAATCGCTTAATTAATTATGACACATTTGACAAAAAATACTTCGATAAAAAGAGTAGGTACCTGCTGGTACTTGATTGGATTAAAATTTGACTTTAAAGAGTTCTTCTGTTGACGTACAACTATCACCATACGTAACAAATTAATTTGTTTGGACCAAGAATGAAAATCTACCTGATTGGAATTGCACTGAGTCACCAGAATTTACAACTCGCTGTTCAAGGCGAGCCGACTCACTTGCCTTTCCTCTTCCAAAATCCAGCAATTCACTCTCCTTGTACATCTTTGACATCTCAACCCTTCCATATAATTCCTCAATCAAACCCCATAATGTCTCGACTGAAGTCGTTCTTGGGGAAAATAACGCCAACAATTTTTCTTTACAATCTTGTAATTTCTTCAAAGCACGTACTAACTCCGTTAAGTCGCAGGAACTCAGACAACTCAACCTCTCCCTCAACTCGTCTATTCTTACTAAAATTTCATGAACGGCTGATAAATAGTCATTAGACAGTAATCCCATGATCTCGTTTAACAGCATGTTATGTTCAAGTAGGAGAAAATTTGGTACTTCGCACATTTCCTCAACCAGTCCAACCAAACAATCGACGTCTTTGATCAAATCAGCGTTCAAGAAAAACGGAATTCTCTGTTCTTGATTCTCTTTAACTGTGCTGGAAGAAGATGAGCAAATCAAATAGCCTAAAACCCTAGAACTGGAAAGTAGGGTTTCCAGGTAACGCGCGTACCACCTGACCCATACAGAGAGGGCCCACATGGTGGCGGTGGCACCATCGCGAAAAGCCGATAGTTTTAGGTAATTAAACCCGCCTGAGACTGGAAAAATTGAAAGCTGATCTTGGAGAATGAAGGGGCCATGCTTGATGATGTAATGAATGGTCACAAGGCACTTTAACGCAACAATACAGTTTCTGGTTCGGTGTAGGCGGTCCATGAGGGTTGCAATGATGGCGGAGGCTGTGGCCCGCGAGCTGTCTCCGAGGAGGAGGAGGGTGGAAAGCTGGCCGTCATTTGGTGGAGCCGGAGGAGAGTGGGTGGTGACTCGGAGGACCGCCAAGCGGAGAGAGAGAGTGGTTGATTTCGGAACTAAGACAGCTTTGAATAGTGATGCCTTGTCTTTGATGAATCCTATAAGATCTCTGATTGTAAGTATTCTTCCCATGGAACGAGACAGAAAATGAAGATGATAATTTCTTGTGATGGAACGTAGGATTTCTTGATTATTGATTTTTTTAATTCTTATTCTCTTTTCAATTGTAAATTGTAACTGTTTGAAACCCCTTTCAAACTCTAGTCTCTTTCATTAAAGGATAAGTAGCGACATTATTCAAAAGTAGCCATTAATCTATTTGGTGCTCGTTTGGATTGCATTTTAAGTTACTTAAATTAAAAGGATTAAACTACTTATACACACAAAGTGTACAATTTGATTGAGACCTCCCGATGTGTCAAAAATTTGACAGTTGATTGAAAAATATGTTGTTAAGATCGATATATCAAAATCTATAGAACCACATAGATGTAAATTAATGTGTTAATTAACCTTTATGTACATATAGCACAATTTAAATTATAATTTATAAAATTGAGAAATCAATAAGTAGGTGGTAGAGTGTGAAATTTATAGTTTAACTTTGACCATTAAATTATAAAGCAATTCAAACAAGTTAGGTTGACTCAAACCTTAAACATGAATTAACCGTATATATTTGAAAAGTAAAGCAATGGAGTTACTGTTTCTTCTTCTAATCTTCCCCAATTATTTTTAGGATTATTTTTTTTTTCTCTATGTAGATATTTTGTAGTAGTATGATAACAATAATAATGAGCAAACTTTATGAAATTGAGAATTTTGTAAATTTCAGCACTTCCATTTCCTGATATTGACTATTGAGGATGCAAACAACAGAACTTGATGACAGTTACCAAGGAAGAAGAAACGTATATGTGAATAAAGTCGCATTGTTGGAACATTACTCAAGTGATTTTCTAAAGTCGCACTTTTAAGCATAATACTTGAATTGATTACACGTTGCTTCTTCCTCCTTGATGGTGCAGTTTTAAAGCATTAGTAGTTGCCACTTTAATCTTCACTTTGATCTTAAATTCTAATGCCCTTGTTCATCAGTGATTCCAAGCTTGTCTTTTAAGAACAGAAATCTTGAGCGACCAGGAGATTTTTTTGTCAAGAGATCAGCAGAAGAGGACACTTACCAGATTTTTAGCTTATTTACAAGTAGCTTATCCCAGCCAATGCACTTGCACTAAGGTTGTGCACCATAACTAGAAAAGGCGTAACCTGTCCAAGAGCATTGAAGATATGATAGCTCTCAGTTTCGAGTCATTATTCATAGTTGTACTACCAAAATTCTTCTAAAGTAAAAATCAATGATCAAGACCAGTCTTGTGATTGTCGGGGCCCAAAGCGAGTCCATAAATTAGGCCTCTAAAATCAATGTAAATGCAAAATTCAATGATGTATTATGCAACCTATTATTAACTTAAAACTTAACATTAAAACAACAAATTTAACATTCAACACATTTACATTGTTGCTTTTAAAGCACTTGTCAATATCCCCTGCTTGACTTTGAGTTAATGCAATTTTATTTCGTTTTCTTTTTATCTATTGAGCACCAAAATTATATTTAGGAGGTATGGTTTATAAGTCTATATCTAATGTTCAATAATTAACCTAAAAGACAATTACAAAATATCTCAATCATCTCACAATTAGAGTTTTCAATATAATAACTACGTGTGCCGATCCAATTGTTGATCCTACAATAACCAATCATATTGGCCGACAAGGCTTCAAATATTTCATATATATTCAATAACAAGTTAAGACAAACCATTGCTTACATGAGAAGTAAAATTTCGACGAAAATTATGGAATCACACCATTGAGAACCCTATCGTCACAACTCACAAGTTTGAAATAAAAATTTAACATCAAACGCCAATACAAATATAAAATTCTATTGCATTAATCTATTCATCATAAATTCATAATCTAATTGCAAATTACACGACTCACAAAATAATGACAAAATAAAGTTTAATGACCAATGTGAAATTTTATACAAGTGGACATTATCAGAGCATACCACACTAACCATGTCGACACATCAATTGTATGTCTCATAATACACTAAAATCAGATTATAATCTCATAAACATCAATTTCATGAAATATTGTCAATAAAAAAAAACAGAGGATCATTGCCAAAGGCAATGAGGATCTTTACTAAAAAATACGCACATAATTGTTCAATGTTTATCTCAAACTAAATACTGGAAATCAAACAGTCCACTGTCAACACATTTAAACAACTAATAAGCATCCCGGCATCAATCAGACTTCATCTATTTTCATGGGATCACAATTATTATCAATTATTCAATTATATACATCATCAATTTTTATCAAAATATACTAAAAATCTATGTTTTATCAAAACCAAACTCATAATATATATGTCACGTTAATTAAACCGACAATTTATAACAAAATTGAAAATTGTATCCAATTTAAAATTAACTTCATCTATAAATCTGCTCAGTGAATATTAAAGTTATTTAGTATTCGTTTGGCCCCATTCTTTTCAAATTTTAATTGTTGGAATAATGCTTTTTGAAAAATGTGTGGTTGAAAAAGAATGATTTTTTTTATTTGCGTGTAATATTATTTTATGGAAGATTGTGTGAAAATAAGAGAGAAAGAATGAGAATGAAAATGGGGGGCCAAATGGAATATTATTATTTCTTGCTCTTTAAAAGTCACAAATTTGTACAATTTTTGCCATTAGTAGAATATTGAAAAATATTTTCAACAAATAAAATTTTTGAAATTTCTTTCACACATGAATAACGTGTATGGCCCTCATTAATTTTCTTTTCATTATATTTCTCTTTTCTCTCTTCTATTTTCAATCACACAATCTTTCATAAAATAATATTACATGTGAATCAAAAAAAAAATATATTTTTTCAATCACTCATTTTTCAAAAAAAATACTATTCCACCCATTTTCATTTCTACAAAATAGGGGGCAAACGGGGGCGAAGTTGTAACGGTCATATCTGGGAGAGTGAAAAGTGAAAACGAAGAAATTGTCTCATCTTGTTAAATGAATACGTATGCGGTATGCATCTATTTCCATCCCACCATTACAATATAAAGCAAAAGTTTTCTTTACACACA